GATTATCTTCTGTGTCTGTGTTAATTGGTTTCCCTTTTCTTTGTTGAAGAGGGTCTGTGCAGTCTTTCTGCCTAGTCCGCCATTTTGCCACAACTCCCCTGAGAGTTCTTTATGTATTCTAGATAGTAGCCCTTTGTTGAGATATGCTTTGCTGGTATTTTTCCTGGTCTGCACCTTTTCATTCTCTTCATAGAGTTTTTAAAAGGAAATTTTCAATTTTGATGAAGTTCAATTAATCAGAATTTAATGAATTGTGCTTTTGGTCAAGTCTAAGTGAATCATGCTTTTGGTCAAGTCTAAGAATATTTGCCAAGCCCTAGATTCTGAAGACTGGAGATTTTTCTGAGAGGTTTCTAATTTTACTTTCCAGTCTGGTGCATTTTGAGTTTTTGTTTGTTTTTTTGTTTGTTTTGAGGAGGGAGACTTAGGTCAGAGTTCTTGGGGTGTTTGGCCTGTGGATGTGTACTTGCTCCAGCACTGTTTGTGGGAAAGTCTGTCTTCCATTGAATCACTTTTGCTCCTGTGTCAAAAACCAGTTGAGTGTATCTCTATGGGTCTGTTTCTGGGTTCTCTGTTCTCTTCCATTGATCTTAAGTTTCTGTCTGCCAATAATACCACTGTCTTAATTACTGTGGTTAAATAATAAATCTTGAAATTGGACAAACTGATTCCATTCACTATATTCTTCTCTTTCAAGATTGTGAAGACTGTTGTAAGGGCTTGTGCCTTTCCATGCAAATTCCAGAATACACCTCTCTCTGACTCCAAAACAAGCTTGCTGGGATTTCAATGGTAATTGCATCAAACATATAGATCGATGGCCACTACTCATCTGTCAGTTTGTCGTACAGTGGTGGCTTGCATGTTGCTGTGAGGCTGGAGACTATGTCACCAGTACTTCAAATGCCAGCAGGGTCACCCATGGTGGACAGGTTTCAGTGGAGCTTCCAGACTAAGACAGACTCAGAAGAAGGAAGGGGCCATTCACTTCTCAAAGAATTGGCCAGTGGAAACCCTATGAATAGCCCTGAAACATTGTCATATATAGTGCTGATGATGAGCCCCTGAGGTCAGAAGGGACTCAAAATATAACTGGGGAAGAGCTGCCTCCTCAAAATAGAGTCAACTTTAATGATGTGGATGGAATAAAGCTTTCGGGATCTCCATTTACTGATGTGACATGACTCAAAATTGGAAGAAACAGCTGGATACATCCATTAATAATTGGAACGTGAAATGTACAAAGTTTGAATCTAGGAAAATTGGAAGTTGTCAAAAATGAAATGAAATGCATAAAGATTGATATCCCAGGCATTAGTGAGCTGAAATAGAGTGGTGCTGGCCATTTTGAATCAGACAGCCATATGATCTATTATGCCGGGTATGAAAAATTAAAGAGGAATGGTGTGGCATTCATCATCACAAAGGTTGTTTCAAAATCTATCCTGAAGTACAGTGCTATCAGTGATAAGATAATATCTATATGCCTACAAGGATGACCAGTTAATACTATTATTATTCAAATTTACACACCAGCCACGAAAGCCAAAGAAAATTGAAGATTACTACCAACTTCTGCAGTCTGGAATTGATGAAACATGCAATCAAGACATCTTGATTATTACTGGTATTTGGATTGTGAAAGTTGGAAATAAAAAAGAATCACTGGTAGTAGGAAAATATGGCCTTGGTGATAGAAACAACACTGGAGATAGCATAATAGAATTTTGGAGGGCCAATGACTTATTCATTCCAAATGCCTTTTTATCAACAACATAAATGGCGGCTATACACATGGGCTTCACCAGATGGAGTATACAAGAAGCAGAACAACTATGTCTGTGGAAAGAGGACATAAAGAAGCTCAGTATCTTCAGCCAAAACAAGGCCAGGAGCTGACCGTGGAACAGACCATCAACTGCTCATATGCAAGTTCAAGTTGAAGCTGAACACAATTGAAACAAGTCCACAGGAACCAAAATATGACCTTGATTATATCCTTCCTACATCTAGAGACCATCTAAGGAAGAGATTGAACACCAGTGACTGAAAACCAGATGAATTGTGAGATGACATCAAGAACATCATCCATGAAGAAAGCAAAAGTCATTAAAAAGACAGGAAAGGAAGAAAAAACAAAAGTGCATGTCAGAAGAGACTTTGAAACTTGCCCTTGAACAGAGAGTAGCTAAAACAAAAGGAAGAAATGACAAGGTAAAAGAGCTGAACAGATTTCAAAGAGCAGCTTGAGAAGACGAAGTGAATTATTATAATGAAATGTGCAAAGAGCTGGAGTTAGAAAACCAAAAGGGAAGTTAGACATTTCTCAAGCTGAAAGAACTGAAGAAAAAAATCAAGCCTTACATTGCAACATTAAAAGATTCTATCGGCTAAATATTGAATGACGCAGGAAACATCAAAAGAAGATGGAAGGGAATACAGAGTCACTGTACCAAAAAGAATTGGTTGATGTTCATCCGTTTCAGGAGGTGGCATATGATCAAGAACCAATGGTATTGAAGGAAGAAGTCGAAGCTGCACTGAAGGAATTGGCGAATAACAAGGCTCCAGGAATTGACAGAATACCCATTGAGATGTTTCAATAAATGGATTCTGCACTGGAGGCGCTCACTCATCTATGCCAAGAGATTTGGAAGACAGCTACCTGGCCAACTGACTAGAAGACATCCATATTTGTACCCATTCCAAAGAAATGTGATCCCACAGAATATAGAAATTATCAAACAGTATCATACACAAGTAAAATCTTAGTGAAGATAATTCAAAAATGGTTACAGCAGTATATTGACAGAGAACTTCCAGAAATGCAAGCTGGATTCAGAAGAAGACATGGAACAAAGGGTATCATTGGTGATGTGAGATGGAGCTTGGCTGAAAGCAAAGAATATGAGAGAGATGTTTAGTTGTGTTTTACTGACTATGCAAAAACATTTGATTGTGTGGATCATAAGAAATTATGGCTAACTTTGAGAAGAATGGGAATTCTAGAACACTTAACTGTGCTTATGAGGAACCTGTACACAGACTGGGAGGCTGTTGTTCAGCAGAACAAGGAGATACTGCATGGTTTAAAATCAGGAAGGAAATGCTTCAGGGTTGTATCCTTTCACCATCCTTATTCAACTTGTATGCTGAGCAAATAATCCAAGAAGCTGGACTATACGAAGAAGAACATGGCATTAGGATCAGAGGAAGAATCACTAACAACCTTTGATATGCAGCTAACACAACTTTGCTTGCTGAAAGTGAAGATAACTTGAAGTGCATGCTGATGAAGATTAAAGACTATAGTCTGCAATGTGGATTACAACTCAACATAAAGAAAACGAAAATCCTCACAACTGGATCAATAAGCGGCATCATGATAAACGGAGAAAAAAATTGAGATTGTCAAAGATTTGATATCACTTGGTTCCATAATCAACACCTCTGGAAGCAGCAGTCAGGAAATCAGATAACATATTACACTGGGCAAATCTGCTGTGAAAGACCTCTTTAAAGTGCTGAAGAGCAAAGATACCTCTTTGAAGACTCAGATGCACCTAACCAAAGCCATGGTGTTTTCAGTTATCTCATATGCATCTGAGAGCTGGATAATGAATAAGGAAGACTGAAGAAGAATTGATGCTTTTGAGTTGTGGTGTTGGCAAAGGATGCTGAAAATACCATGGGCTGCCAAAATAACTAACAGTCCTGTTCTGGAGAAAGCGCAGCCGGAATGCTCCTTGGAAGCGAGAGTGGCCAGACTTTGTCTCACCTACTTTGGCCATGTTGTCAGAAGGAACCATTCCCTGGAGAAAGGATATCATACTTGGTAAGGTGGAGGGTCAAGGAAAAGGGGAAGGCCCTCAGCAAGATGGATTGACATGTTGGCTGCAATGATGGTCTTGGGTATAGCAAGGATTGTGAGGCTGGCACAAGACCAGGCAGTGTTTTGTTTTGTTGTGCATAAGGTCACTATAAGTCAGAGCAGACTCAATGGCACCTAGCAACAACAACATAGATCAATGGGGAGAATTGACATCCTTACTATGTTGGGGTTTCCAGTGCCTGAACAGTTATTAAGGACTTTGATCTCTGTCATCAACGTTTTATGATTTGCAGCATGTAGATCTTATACATGTTTTGTTTTGTACCTAAGTATTTCATTTTCTTCAAATTTCTGTTTCTATGTATGAAAATTATTATGCTTCTGTCTGAAAAAGTTACTTGAACCGTAGCTTCCCTATAGAGTGGGAGTAACATGAGGAAATAATCATAGGTTATTAATCTTTGATATTATTCCTAAGTTCTTCCTTACAGTACTTAATTAACAAGGTTTTGGTTTTTATAAGTTCTTTATCAGTAATCTGAAAAGCTTGTACATAAATATTCTATGTGTTTGAGACAAGGATCCTATCATTCCAAGTCTGTCCTCTCTCTCTAAGTGAGAGTGTGGGTGAGACTAGGGACAAGGTAGTTTAGTGCCTACATTTTCTAGTTATGCATTGAGATCCTGGGGGTGACATGACTTTCCTTCAGGTAGACTAGAGCTCAGGATAGAGGGTGCTTGCATTCCATTTTACACCCAAACTTGGAGTGGAGGGTGCATGCACTCTGCTTCACATCAGGGCTTGACGTAGAGGGTGCTCACACTTGGGTTTACGCCAGACTTCAGGGTAGAGGGTATTTGCACTCTGGTTCACACCAGGGCTCTGGCTAGAGGGTGCTCACACTTGGGTTCACACCAAACCTCAGAGTAGAGGGTGCCTGCACTCAGGTTCACCCAGGGTTTCTCTGTCCCTGCTGAACACACTAATGATTTTTCCATCTGTTTGCAGAGCTGTCCTGCTGAGACTGGAGGGATGTAGCCACCCTGTTGTCATGAAAGGGCTGTGTGCTGAGTGTGGCCAGGATTTAACCCAGTAAGTACCACCAGGAGAGAAGAACTGGTGTCCATCAGCATTTGAGATCAGTTAACCTCTAGTTAAGAAGAGAGTACACATTTCAGGGCGTGGACATAGTAGCAGAAGGTCTTTAATTACAAATGGTGAACATCCCTTCTCTTTACTGGATGTGCTTTTGTCAGTTCAGTTCCCCTGGAGGTCTTCCTTTTCATTTCTTTATGTTCTGGAAACACTAGATTCTTTTCTCTGTTAGTCTCGGTGGGGGTGGGGGGGGCATCCAGAAGGTTTGTGGAAGAGCAGTGCGGTGTGTCAGGTGCATGTTGCTTCCTGTCCTGGTGGCCTCTCGCAAGAAGGCCTGGGCTTTGTAGACTGTACACGTGTCTCCACATGTAGTCAGCCACTGACACCAGATGGCTTGCAAATGGAATGCCATGTGGGCTGTTCTTCCTGGACTTTTGACCCTTTATCTTCATGTGTGAGAGCTCCTTGGACAGTTTACTGTCATAGAGAACTTGGATGTGGTCATCGGCTTACTGTTCTCCAGGGTTCCTGTCTGTTTACAGGAGGTTTCTAACAATAGGGATATTTCACTAGTAGTCACCAAGAGTAAGATTGTGCCCTAGACTAGCAGTGCATGTCAGCTGCTACATGGACTGAAGCCCTTCTGCATATAATTGAGGGTGCTGCTGTGTGCAATATTTTTAGAAGACACGTGTGTAACACGGCTCTCTTTGTGCAAAGGCTGCAGAGCAAGAATGGGCGGCAGCGGGCACCACTCTCCACGGCCACCGTGTCCATGGTGCACAGCGTGCCTGAGCTGATGGTGAGCTCTGAGGTGAGTCCTGCTACTTTATGGCAAAAGTAACATACCTAGGCAAAAGGGAATAAACCCATGACCGTATGTAAGTTTGGCAAACGATACTTCTACATACGTTTGTATGTACTGTAAGAATGTCCACATAAATAGAACTAACAGGGCAAAGTTATGATAACTTCTTAGCCACAGCCAGCTACCCTGAGGGAGCGAGTTGTTGGACCATGGTTGCAGGGGACATCAAGCTCAACTGGCATAACACGCTGCTAAAGGGACAGGAAGGCAGTGTCTTTTGACCTCCTCTAACTCCACAAGAGGAAGATAGAATCATCAGCAGCAGCCCAAGGCCTGCTTCTATGAGGCCAGACTGCTACCACCCTCCAGCCCTTTTACCAAGTTTGACACCAACCGTCCCTCCTATGGCACTCAGCCCCTCTCTGCTGGGTTCAATAATTCGCTGCAGGGCCACGGAGAACTCACAGATTATTGGGTTTATCAGGGAAACAGCAGACTATAACTCAAGTTCAGGAGCGCGCTCAGGATACAGTTGCTCAATCAGGACAGTCTCCCCTCTGCTGTGCCCGTAGGCACACCTCCCAAGCCCTTGGCCTCTTGGCCTGGCCTCTGCCTCTGTGCGCTAGGTAAGCCTGCCACTCTGTCCTGTGCCTCTTAATTCACCTGCCACCATCTTTTAGCTTGGTGGCTCTCAGCTGGCAGTGAAATTCCCCTCCTCTGCCCCTAGGAGGGCTCATTTTAAGCCTGGCAGAGTGGCAAAACTAACCAATCCCAACATCAAAGTCCACACACCTGAGAGAGAGTGAACTTCCCCAGAAGATTACGTCCTGCTGCTCCAACAGAAATACCCCAAGTGGATGACTTTAACAATCAGGAGTTTAAAAGCAGCTACTCAGTTGCTCATGGCAAATTCTACCCCAGAGGTAATTACCAGTTATAGGGAATAACTACTACCAGTTGCCCAGGCAAGTTGACACATACTTGCATGGTCCTACCCAGTAATCTGGTGGGAGTTACAAAGACTATGGCTAGAAAAGCCATACCATGCAACTCACTACACCGCACATGCTATACAAAAGCATTGTTCTACATCCTACTTTGGTGAGTAGTTAAAAGCTTGAAGGATCCATCTAGATGTAACAATTGGTCTCTCCTTACCCAGAGCAAGGAAGAATGAAGAAAACCAAAGACACATGGACACACTTAGTCCAAGGGATTAGTGGACCATGTGAACTTGAGCATGCATGACCATAAGACCAGAAGAACTAGATGTTGTCCAACTACTATTGTCAACCACTCGAAAGGGATCAGTGCAGTAGATTCTGGATAGAGTGGGAGAAAAATGTGGAACAAAACTCAAAATCTTAAAAAGGACCAGACTTACTGGTCTGATAGAGACTGGTGAAACCTCCAAGACTGTGGCCGCTACTCACTCTTCAGACCTGGAATTGAACTCACTCCTGTTGCTTCCAGCCAAACAGTAGACAGGCGTATAGGGTAAACATCTGCATCAGGTAGACACACTCCTTAGAATGATCAATCACAGGAGATCAGAAGGGCAGTATTTGCACTGGGAGGTAGCTCAGAGGGCAGGAATGCACAGGAAACAAGGACACAGGAAAAGGTAACTACAGGGAGGAAGTGGGAAGAAAACTGTTCCATTATGGGGATTGCAGTCAATGTCATGAAACAAAATGTATACGAATTGTTGAATGGAACAACAATTTGCTTTGTAAACACCCAAATGACAATAAAAAGTTAAAAAGTATATAAAGTAATATATCTGAGAAAGCTTTTTTCTAAGCAAAGTCAGGGACATGGGCAGACCTCTCTTCTTTGGTAGAGGGAGGGCTGGAGAAAGCAGCACATTTGCCATCACTATTATTTCTGCAACAGCTGCTCTAAGACAGAAGGGGAGTCCATTCGTGATGCAAATGGTTAAGTGCTCACTGAAAACCAAAAGTTGGAAGTTCAAATCCACCCAAAGGCACCTTGGAAGAAAGGCCTGGCATTCCACTTCCATAAAAGCGACCACTGACAACCCTGGAGGGTGCCATTCTGCTCCAACACACACAGCACAGGCAGCAGGGGAGTGGCCTGCAGGCCGAGTGGCCAGGTGCATGGACGTCGGACATCGTGTGAGGGCCGTATGCACTGACCACCCTGTAGGGTGCTGTTCTGCTCTGACACACACAGCACAGCAGGGGAGTGGCCAGGCACTCAGACGTTGTGTGAGGGCTATATGCACTGACATTGGGGGTTGAGAGGGGAGATTGGTTGGATCTCCGCAGAATCTTTTCTTTCTTTAGAAAATTGAATCTCATTTAGCTTCAGTGCATTTACTTTATTGCTTTTCTTTCTCCCTTGCCATTTTAGCAAGCTGAGCAGCTGGGCCGGGAAGACCAGCAGCGACTGCATCGGAACAGGAAGCTGGTGCTTATGGTCGACTTGGACCAGACTTTGATCCACACAACAGAGCAGCACTGCCAGCAGATGTCCAATAAGGTGCGTGATGCTGGGGCCCACCCATGGTTCCTCGGGAAGCTCAGGCCTAAAGCACGTTGTCTTAGGTTCTCATTTTCCATAGCTCAGCCTGGATTTGGGAAACAGATTGGAGTCCAGATTTAATCTGTTTAACTGTGCCTTGTCGCTTCTTCCTTGGCCATGTTTGTGGCCTCTCATGGGATCTGTATTCTCAGAGCAGGCCTCGAACTAGTCAAGCCTGAAGAACTTAGTGTCCTTCAGTGTCACTGCTAAACTGAAAGTCTTTTTTCTTCATTGGTGGCATTAGAAGAAGAGTATTGCTGTGTGAGAGGTTTGGTAAAAATAAACTTCCGAAAGCTACGTGTAATTGAAGTGCTGTGATGAATCACATCTGATAAAGGTTAATCATTTAAGCTCTGTCTTAATGACTAGATCAGTGATACAAACAGACCTACAGTGACCTCACAAAGTCCTGATGCAGTAAAAAGTGTTCTTGAACTAGGTCGTCATGTCATGTTCTGACCAGCCATGCGTGTTCCTACAAAACAGTTTATATTTCTTCATTTCATGAGTTATGTTTGTACCATAGGATTTTACGTAGAATACATGATGTTCTTTTGTGTAGTACGTGCCGTTACTAAATTTTTTTTGGATGGTTTCATTCCTTCATACTGCTCAACTTATTAAATATTTACAAGCTGCACGGACTTGATGAGTATACTCCATACACATGTGTACCTACATGTGTTGCCTGGGCTATTTCAGGTTTGATTGTGCCTTTAAGGACTGGCATTTTCAGTTCCTCTGAAGAGACCATTTGAGCTGTTGAGAAGGTACTGTTTGTCAGCTCACATGATCTGGAGGGAAGTGTGTGCTCAGGACAGCACCCACCAAGTGCTTGAGGTACCAGCAGCCGAGCTCATGCCAGTGGCCTTCACAGGCTGCCCCTTCCTTCCCTCCCTGCACTGTACACCCAGAGCAAACAACCTGGAGAGCACCCAGTGTCTGTGGGCTCATTAAAACATGATCAAAGGCTTTCCATGTTTACTTAGTAATCCCCTGCTCACACTCCATACCTGGAACTCCTTTAGATGATCACCCCTGGAACCTGCCTGCAGCAAACGATTCCAACTCCCAGCTCCCCTAGAGGACAGAGGGTTTCTAACCCACAGGGTTTCCCAGGCTGTCAGTCTACACAAAAGCAAAGCCCAAACCAGGCCCACTGCTATGGAGTCAATTCTGACTCAGCGACCCTAAAGGACAGACTAGAACTGTCCCATAGGGTTCCAAGGCTGTCAGTATTTTTGGAAGCAAAGCCCAAACCACACACACTGCCTTAGAGTCAATTCCAATTCACAGTGCCCATAGAGGACAGAGTACAACTACCCCATGGGGTTTTCAAGGCTGTAATCTTTATGGCAGGGATCCAGGTGAGGAGAGGGAGCTCAGGGACACCCAAAGTAGCAGGGTGGGAGAGCGGGAGAAAGGGGATTAAAAGCCAGGAACCTGGACAGAGGAGCAGTCAGCTGCAGGGGTCCAGATGAGGAGAGGGAATTCAAGCACGCCCAAAGCAGCAGGGCAGGAGAGTGGGAGAAAGGGTATTAAAAGCCAGGAACCCGGACAGAGGAGCAGTCAGCCGCAGGGGTCCAGGTGAGGAGAAAGAACCCAGGCACGTCCAAAGGAGCTGGACAGTAGAGCGGGAGAAAGGGGATTAAAAGCTAGGAACCCGGACAGAGGAGCAGTCAGCCGCAGGGATCCAGGTAAGGAGAGGGAACTTAGGCACGCCCAAAGCAGCAGGGCGGAAGAGCCGGAGAAAAGAAATTAAAAGGCCCAGGAATCCGGACAGAGGAGGAGTCAGCCACAGGGACCCAGGTATGGGTGGTACAAGAGGTTTCCAACAGGGAGACAAACTTGTCTGTCGGTTTGTCCTACTGTGGTGACGTGTTGATATGAGTTTTGAGGCTGAGCCGCTGGTGTTTCAAATCCAGTGAGATATACATGGTGCACAGGTGTCAGCCCAGCTTGCAGACTGAGACAAACTAGGAAGAAGGAAAAGGCCATCCGCTTCTCAAAGAATTGGCCAGCGAAAACCTTATGAATAGCAAAGAAACACTGTTTGATACATTACCATGCAACTTTATGAATAGTCCGGTTAGGTTAGAAGGCTCTCAAAATAGGACTGGGAAAGAGCTGCATCATCTGAGTAAACCCAGCCTTACTCCCTATGGATAAGGTAAAGCTTTC